ACAGAGTGACCACTGGAGTGACCACAGAGTGACCACAGAGTGACCACAGAGTGACCACTGGAGTGACCACAGAGTGACCACAGAGTGACCTCAGAGTGACCACTGAGTGACCAGTGACCAGTGACTGACCAGTGACCACCGGAGTGACCAGTGACCACAGAGTGACCACAGAGTGACCATTGACTGACCAGTGACCAGTAACCAGTGACCATTGACTGACCATTGACTGACCAGTGACTGACCAGTGACCAGTGACTGACCAGTGACTGACCAGTGACCACAGAGTGACCAGTGACTGACCAGTGACTGACCAGTGACCAGAGATCACCAGTGCCCATGGCAATGTCCCAACAATGACCAACGATGACCAATGACCAGCCATGACCCAGTGACCCAACAATGACCATCAATGACCAACGATGACCAACGACCATGACCCAATGACCCATCAATGTCCCAACAATGACCAACGATGACCAATGACCCGCCATGACCAATGACCATGACCCAATGACCCATCAATGACCAACAGTGACCCAACGATGACCAATGACCATGGCCCAATGACCCAACCACGACCCAACGATGACCCATCAATGACCAACAATGACCCAACCATGACCAAAGATGACCCAACCATGACCCAACCATGACCCAACAATGACCAATGATGACCAATGACCCAACCATGACCCAATGGTGACCCCAAGCCCCACCACGACCCAATGATGACCAGCCATGACCCAATGATGACCGAACCATGACCAATGGCCCAACCATGACCAAAGATAACCCAACCATGACCAACCATGACCCAACGATGACCAATGATGACCAATGGCCCAACCATGACCCAACCATGACCCAACGATGACCAACCGTGACCCAACGATGACCCATCCATGACCCAATAACCCAACCATGACCCAACCATGACCCAATGACACAACCATGACCCAGCAATGACCAATGACCCAATGATGACCCAACCATGACCCAGCCATGACCCAGCCATGACCCAATGACCCACTGATGACCCAGTGATGACCCAACAATGACCAATGACCCAATGATGACCCAACCATGACCTAACCATGACCCAATGACCCAACCATGACCCAACCACGACCCAACGATGACCAATGACCATGACCCAATGACCCAACCATGACCCAATGACCCAACCATGACCCAGCCATGACCCAACGATGACCAATGACCCAATCATGACCAATGACCCAATCATGACCCAACAATGACCCAGCCATGACCCAACAATGACCAATGACCCAACGATGACCAATGACCCAATGATGACCCAACCACGACTCAACGACCCAACCATGACCTAACCATGACCCAATCATGACCCAACCATGACCCAACGATGACCAATGACCCAATGATGACCCAATGATGACCCAACCATGACCCAATGACCCAACCATGACCTAACCATGACCCAACGATGACCAACGATGACCCAACCATGACTCAACCATGACCAACAATGACCGAACGATGACCAATGACCCAATGATGACCCCTCAATGACCCAACCATGACCCAATGACCCAACCATGACCCAACCATGACCCAATGACCCAACCATGACCCAGCGATGACCCAACAATGACCAATGACCCAATGATGACCCAACCATGACCCAGCCATGACCCAGCCATGACCCAATGACCCACTGATGACCCAGTGATGACCCAACAATGACCAATGACCCAATGATGACCCAACCATTACCCAACCATGACCCAACGATGACCAGCGATGACCCAACCATGACCCAATCAT